AACAACTTTAGCTTCTGGGATTTTTTCACTGAGTGTGAAATAGGAATTCACGATATCACTGAGTTTTGCATAGAAATCATCAAACGCCTCATCATCGCGCATAAAAAGGGTTTCAAAAGCGGAGGTGAGACGTTGAAGTTTTGACCTTTTGACAGAAGTAGTACCTTCGTGAATCGTTTCCAAAATGTCCCAAGCCTCTTTTGCTACCTCACACGTGCTGATATGACGAAACTCTTCAGGTGTGACGGAGCAAAACAGGGAATTGAGAGCCTTACTGTTCCAACTCGAGTTTTGGTAATCAGTTGTGTCCCATTTATCAAGGGGTTTAGGAATATCAACACCATGAATGGTGATAGTAGGTTCACTCCACCCATAGATCACGCTGTGCCAAACTTTCTCATCGATGGATTTTAAAAATGCTCTCATACGAGCTTTCCAATAAGAATAGTTTGTACCATCGAGTAAAGGAGGTCTATGGGTCGAGTTACCTTCACGAATAGAATCCATATCACTAGTCACACAAAATCACACTTCTATATTTTTAACAAAAAGAGTGACCCGCTCTGATACCAATTGAAAATCCTAAGTGATTCGTGATTAGATCAATATTAAAATATTCTAAATCTCAATTATTCAAAACACGCAATCTAAATCATCAAGCACTTATGAAAGTGATTTAGATTGTTGTTTTTCTGAATAAATAATAAATCGACACAAATGATTTTTACGTGGAAAAAATCACAATTGAAGAACCTTCAATTGTAATAAAAAAAACCACGGGCGAAACGCCACTAATCAATCCATTACTGAAGAAAGAAAGATTACAAAGATAACACACAAATTACCCAACTCAGTCAATTTGTCTTCGAATCTTCTGTAACTCTTTCACTACACCTTTGTCTTGGAACTGATTAATCCTGAAGTTGAATCCACAACTTCACTTGTCGAATTAACGACTATGTACAGAATCAAACGCCTTTTGAAATTCTACGTTTGAATCTTCGTAATCCACCGAAGAATAACACTCTTGTATGTATATGAACAATCTCCTTGATATGTGCTTCACAAATCATGAGTTGAATACTCATTCAATTTTATTAAGGAAAACTCACAAAAAAATCTCTAGAAGAAAACCTTAGAAAACCTAAAGTAGATTTGAAAGAGTAATCCTAGTTTTTGGAGAAAACCAACTACTTATAGAAATCCGGATTCTGAAGCTCGCTCGAGCGAAGCTTCTCTCGCTCGAGCGAGAACCTTAACTCGTGTGATTTCTATAAGTGCCTTCGCTCGAGCCACGAAGCCTTCGCTCGAGCGAGCAATGAACTCTTTCAGGTTTTAAGCAGACGCAGTCCTTCGCTCGAGCCACCAATGCTTTGCTCGAGCGCACAATCACCTCTTTTAGGTTTTAAGCCAGACGCAGTCCTTCGCTCGAGTGAGGAAGACAAAACAGTAAGGAAATTTTACAACTCGATTAACAAAGTTGTTTGCGGGGATTGACAAGAACAAGGGTCCTAACAATATATATGGATCATGCTCCAAGTTCAAGATATATACGATTAGGATTTTAATTTTATCATTTGGGTAATTTTCAATTACGTTAGATCTAGACTCGTGCTAATTGTGATTATTTTTATTTTTTTGGTAAATTACACTCACCTCCTGACATTATTACACTAACAAATCTTAAGTATGTGTTTAGTCAATGTTTGGATCATCCATTTGAGTAGAGATTTAGAAAGTAAAAGAAAAAAAATAGAAATTTATTGGAAAATCTTTTTTCAAATATTTTAATTTCAATTAGTCCATATTATTTTAGACATATGATCTATCAAATTGGAATAGGCTTCCCTCCATACCTCTCTATACCCCTTGTGAGCCCCAATTTGAACCACGACGATTATTTGAACCGTCTATCTTGTAAGTTTGTAATAAAGGTTATCTATGTAAAAAATGAGTTTCATCAAAAATCAAAAATTCTAAACACAGGAACAAAAATTATTTTATTTTATAAAATGGATGAGCTATTGGTGAATTTTAACCACACACACAATTTCCCAAATTTTATGTCTTTGTACAAAAACTACCCATTATATGGAAGTTTCACAGAGGTTCATATCTTGGAAAAAAAAAGTTATGTATGCTATTTCAATTAGTCCATATTATTTTAGACATATGATCTATCAAATTGGAATAGGCTTCCCTCCATACCTCTCTATACCCCTTGTGAGCCCCAATTTGAACCCACGGCGATTATTCGAACCGTCTATCTCGTAAGTTTGTAATAAAGGTTATCTATGTAAAAAATTAGTTTCATTAAAAATTCTAAACACAGGAACAAAAATTATTTTATTTTATAAAATGGATAGTTTAAGTTTACATTTACATTTGTTGTTCATTTTATAAAATAAAATGTAATTTTTTCTTAAGTTTATAATTTTTCGATGAAGTTTATTTTTTTTTATAGATGACCTTTATTACGAAATTTACGAGATAAGCGGTTCGGATCATCGGTGCAAGTCCGAAATTAGGACCCATGAGAGGGGTATGGAGAAGTATGGAGGGGAGATTATCCCTACCAAATCTTAATTATCATATTTAAAATATTTTATGGATAATTTTACCCTTACAAATATTTTTTTGAATCCTTAGCCACTTATGTGAAATAAATTTGGCAATTTCAATGTTTATGTTGATAGTGTCAATGTGAACATTAACACGCACTTCACCTATTATTATTAGCGGTATTTTGGTAACTATGTACCAATAGGACTTATTGGAACCTAAGAAAATAATTTAGACGGAGTGAAACATAAGTAGGTAAAGATGGATGGATTTATGAATAAATGTCCCAAGAAAAAAGATGTATATTTTACTCATTTTTTTCTTTTTCCTTTCTAAAGCCCTACTTGAATCTATGGTCCAAACACAGCATAGTGTTTTAATTTATATAATAGGTAATTTTTCATTAGTAATTCGTTAGTTATATAAATGAAAAATGATGCCGTCATCTCTTATTTACTAAAATGTGTATTTATTTTTATTTATTTCAATTAGTTTAGGTCGCTTTAGCTTTACTAAAATGGAAGTCATTGTGATTATGTGAAAAGTGTGGGGCTAACTATATTATCTCCAAACTTGAAGGAACGTGAGTGTAATTTACTCTTTTTTTTTTTTGATGTATTGTATTCTCTTCTCTCTCCTTTTCCAAAAATTTGCTTTGCACTTAAGGAGGGGAACATTGGAAGTGATAATAGATTCAACATATCTAGAAAATAAGGATAACAATCTTATGAAGGCTTGTTTGGGAATTTGGCTAAAAGTAAGTTTTTTGGCTTTTTAATTTTTTTAGATTGTAAAACCTCTCTATTTTTTTTGCACATTTTAAAAAAAAAATTTAAAAAGTTCAACTTTTAACCTATTTCACAAAAACAAAGCCAAGTATAATGCAGAGGCGGATCTTAGGCCAAGTGACGAGACCCATGTGCAAGTTTTGTATGTTGGCTGGTATGTTGTTGGTATTGGTTGTTATAATTGTGAGTGTCCTAGCGTTAGGGAGAAAATAATAAACCTTATCTTATTCTATTTTTATTTTCTTATTTTTGGATATAACATGTACATATATTGTTTATTGTGTGAATTCATATAGGATCTAGGAGGTGAGAAAAGCCAATGAAATTCATGTTTGTATCTACAAATTTCTTATCTGCAAAATAAAGATAAAAATAAAATAATAAATATATATTTATTAATTTTAAATAAAGTGAGTACCATCTTTGATGAATTTTTTAATCGATGAAAATAATCCTCTGATTCTTCTTTTCAAAAAGTTAACTTCAGGGCTTGATAGCTTGTTCCTGAATTGAATAGTAAAATCTTCTCCAAAGTAATTCGGAGAATATTGTGATGAGATAAGTTGACTTGAGGGATTGATAGGTTATTACTAAATCGAACGAGGAAATCTTCTCCAGGTAGTGTGATGAAGATGGCGAATTAGTAGAGCGTTGACTTGACAACTTTATTCTCAAATCAAAACGTAGAATCATTTTTAATTTAATAGAAGAAGATAATAAATTTGCTGGCCTTCATGATGAACTTTGACTTGAATCTTTAAGCTTCAAGCGTGGCAGAGATTGATGGAGTTTCGTCATGAACAATTTCCTTGAAATCGAAGGCTTTGGCGAGGGAAGTCTGCTGGGCTTTGAAGTTCCAATCCGATGGAGTTTTCTTGCTACTTGATTAAATATATGTAAAATTGTGTGTAATTGTCTCTTGGAGATCACCCCTACTTATAGGCATGGGTAAGAGGAAAGTCTTGATAGATTTCAATTTTTTTAAAAAATTTTTAAAATTTTTTATAATTATCTCTAATTTATTTAGAGATAAAATATCCAAATATCACTTTAATGGCGTGTCATATTGTTATTAATTTGACCACCTCAATGTGACGAACAACTTAATTTGATTAGCCAACTACTTGTTTACTTAAAATTGAATCATTTTAAGACATGACAATATTTGATTTGACCATGGTGTGATTTTGATTTGAGACCAATTCGACACACAACAATATTTGATTTGCCAATAATTATGTCATATTTCATAGGTCTTTATAGCTCGGAACAATTTGTAAATGGCTTAAATTTGCATGCCTACAATAATCATCATCAATATTATATGCTCAGTCATGTATGCAATTTTGCCATTCTCAATTTAACACATCAGAAAGGGAAGGTATAGAGTGTGGCAGACTTGCCATTTTGCTTGATGGATGAATTTTCTGAATTTCTGATGTGCTCCTTTGTACTATGGTGGTTAAATTGTGAGAAAAGTTTTATATATTGGTTGATATGTATCGTATCTGACTTGTAAATTTATTTGACTGTGGACTGTTTGAAAATTTTTAAGCACTGGGTTTTCCTTTCACATTAGTTGTTACCTGCAAATATTGAATGGCCAGAGTTAAAAAAAGTGCTATGTTAAGTTTGTAGTTGTATGTGCAGGTGGAGTTTCAATTTACAATATTGTTGCACGATCGCTTCGTGATGAGAAAACTGAGGATTATAAAGAAACAATAAAGACATTGCAAGTTAGGATTGTTAGACTGGAGAGTGAATCCAATCATTATAGGAAATTACTTGAAGAAGCCCAAATGCTCAGATATGATATTCAATTGGAATCTCAAAATGCACCGCGCCTAAATTCAAACACAAATGTTAACCAGAAACCAGAAGATGTGATAAGAATGTTCATGATTAAGAAATTTGTTGGTAGACATGTTTTGGGACATCTGATCGTTCCCGAGGTTGGACATGAGAAGAACCAGAAATAGTATCGAGTGTGTCAGGTATGAGCATCAGATAAGATTGATCATATGGTGATGGTTTTTAGTACATGTTGGCTAGGGCTTCCTGTATTGATATTTGTAATTAGGGTTGGTAATGTAAAGCCATTTTGGCTATGCTCTTTGTAATGTACGAAGTGTGTATTTGTGCTTGTACAAAAAAATATTCTATTGGCTTAGGCGTTTTGAATGCTTTATTTTGCGAGTCAATATAAATCATGGTTCAAAATTTAGCAACCCACAGATGAAAACATCATTTTTTTAAATTGAAATTTTGAATGTGAAAAAGTTATGAGTCGTTTGTACACTGTAATGTAAATTTTATCTTTCCTTTAAAAAAAAAATTACTTTCTCCACCCTTTCCACCTACTTAAACCGTTGACTGCTTGGGTTGGGTTGGGTTGGGTCGGGCCGGGCCGGCATCAGTTAGAAAAACAAGTCAATCTCCTATTAATTGGTTTAGTTTAATTTTTTTTTTCTCAAATTGCACTACCAAGCCGTGCACACCCTTAGGCTGCTAGTCTAAACAAAGAGCCAGAGCCATAGAATTCTACACAGATATGTATATGTATATTTGTATGCATCAAACTGGATCAGTACATAGCAGGTGTCAGGTGTCAAATGGGTTAGACATTTTTTTGTTTAGTTGAGCTTGTAAATTTTATTTTTTTCAAAAAAATTATAAACTAGTTTCATAAAAATAATTAAAAATATATATTAAAATTTTTAAAAATTATTTTTTCCTAAAAAAGAGAAAATCATTTTAAAATAATTTATTTTTCACCAAATTGGTTTTTAAATTTTTTTCAAAAAATAAAATTTGAAAACTCAACTAAACGTAAAATTTATGATTGAAGTTGTTACATTTAAGCATAATAAAAAATAAAATAAAAAATTGAATTAGATTAGTCTGCAAGGCATGAATTTGTAGGTTGCAACCTACTTCCTTCCAATACTGGGTTGTGTTTCAAATCAAGCATAAACAAGTTATGTTCCATAGTCTCAATACATAAACCAAAAGTATTAAGGATGTATTTGGATCTTAAATTTTAGAAAAAAATTGTAGAGTGCCAAAGAGAGAGAGAGAAAAGAATATATTTTAGAACATTTTGGCACAATCTAGGCAGGTGATTTCATCCATTTTAGTCTAACTTTTATTTTTGGTGAAATTTTTTAACTTAGTCAAAATATTTTATGTTTTAGGTTCATCTAAATTAAGCGTTTTTAAAAATTAGAAAATTTTTGAAAAAAGTTCAATAAAGACAAAAATGAGCTAATTTTGTCATTTTTTACTTTTTTTAATAAATTTTCAAGGTTGATTGGTCTAGATATATCTGAAAAAGTAAAAAAATAAATAAATAAACATTATTCTTAAAAAATTACTAAAAATAAAAATAAGTAAAAAAAAAAATAAAGTCTTATAAGTTGGTGCCAAAGAAAATCCTCCAATGATAAAAATGTAAAGTGGGCATCAAAACTTGACAAAAGGGGTAGAATTGCCAATTTGATATTTCAAATTCATAATAGCATACACGCCCCTTTTGAGTCCTATTTTATTCTCACTCTTGTAAGTGTGTGAATAATATATTATTTTGATTGGTATAAAATTATAAGACCTATCATTTTTATTTATATTGTATTTGGTAGGAGAATTTGAGGAGTTATTTGAAAAGAAAAATAGAAATGATAGGTGAAATGTGAATAAAATATACCTATATTTCACCTATTTCACACATCTTTTCCCTTTCTCTTTCTAAATCTTTTTCTAAATCTCCTAACCAAATATAGCATTATATTTTTTAAAAATGAAATTCACATATTTAAATCAATAATATTTTATATATTACTGACACACTAAGGCCTCGTTTGGAAGCGGTTTGTTTTAGCTTTAAAGTCAAAAAGTTATTAAAAAAATTAAAAAGTCAACCACTTATATCAAAAAGTCAAAAATTTTATTTTCTTTCTATTTTTTACATATTTTTTCATAAAAAATTAAAAAATCATTTCAAACATATTAATTTTTTATATATCATATTTTAATCAAAAAAATTAAAAAATTATTAGAAAACATGCTCTCAAACGAATCCTAAAAACAGTGTGTGAGTAAATTCATTTTCTTCTTCCACATTTGATAAGTGGGTAGCTAGGTCTGATTTATTTTGAGGGGCCTCTTCGTACAAATTTCCAAATTTCTGACTCATCGACACACTTAAAGCGTCAATTTTTCCAAGTTTAGAGAGAAATCCTTTATTCCAAAAATGAGTCTATCCCACTAAAAATTATCTACGTGGCTGTGTATGCTATCATTGTGAATATTGGAGGGTGACATTGGCTAAAAAGTCATATTATTGGTTACAAAACTTATTAGTTACCTAAAAAAGTCCAATTTGATTAAAAAAAAAAATTAAAAAAGTAAAAAAAAAAGAAGAAGCCGCCTCGGATCAAGTTTTTTTGTTTGAGTAAAACCAATTCAGGTTTCTTTTAGCAGCAGCATGCAGCTTGTAATAAATTAAAATTGGTGTTTTGAAAAATTGATAAAAAGTTAGTTTTTTAGTTTTTTTAAATCTATTTTGTCTTTTTATAAATGAAAAATGTGAGAACTGATGTGACTCAAAATGAATAATATGCTAAAAGTTAACTTTTTTTTTGCTTCCCATAAGACCCCTAAAATATTTTTAGACTTATTTTTATTTTTATACTGAGTTTAGTTGGGGGGATTTGAAGAGAGATTTGAAAAGGAAAATAGAAAATGTAAGAGAAATGTGAATAAAACATACTTATATTTCACTAATTTCACACATTTTTTTTCTTTCTCTTTCTAAATTTTATTCAAAATCCTCCAATCAAACACAGTATTAATGAATTTTTTTAAAATAAATTTTGAGTCATATTATTATACTATTTAGGTCCATCTAAACTTAAACAATTCTAAAAGATAAAGTAGATTTTTTTTATTAAAAAAAATAGTAAAATAAAAATGCAAATTTTTATGGACTTTTTCTATAAATTTTTATTTATTTTTGTCTCTAATAATTTAAATTTTTTAATAAAAATTTTCAGGTTGATTAATCTGAATAAACTTAAATATATATATATTTGATATGATATAAAGTTTTTGACAAATGATAAAAAAGATATAAAAAGGTGTCCACTTTTAGGAGTCCCAAATTTATATGCCCCGTGTTCGAAATTTCCTCCAAATTTCCAAATTTCAGCATCAGTTGACTCACCGAATGAGATATGTTTTTTAGATAAGTATCCATTTCAAATATCTATATCCTTTATTCCAAACACAAGTCTGTCCCATCCATGTATGATATATTTATTTAATTATAAATATATATGTTGTATGATTGTGAATGATGAGACAAGAGGGCTCCCAACATGAGGGGTTGGCCCTTTGTAGGTTGATGACGGAATTTTTTTTATGGCTCAAATTATTTATTTTATAAATTTTTAAAGTAAGTTATTGTGTAAAAAATTAAATAAATAAAAAACTTTAAAATAAATATCTATTCACAAAATTATATTTGTTACATATTTTTTCTTAAGACAAATGTGATACAATCATGTAAGTACAATTTTTCAATTGATTTAAATTGAAACATTTATGAGCTTCTTTTATTAACTAGACTTATTTGCCTACAAGTCTTGATTGATAAATTTATTATTGTAAATTTATTTATTAATATCCACTATCCTTACTCATATTCATTCACTCATTTATAAGAATCCACCATCCTCTACCTCATACATAAAGAACAAAAGAGACTAATAAATTTATCACTGAAACAAAGGAGGTTGTGGTGATATGGTGGTTGTGTAGATCGGCAATGATAAAGTGTAGATCTAGGACGATAAGGTGTATATCGACGACGGTAGAGTGTAGATTTGTGATGATGGTGGTGGATATGTGACAATAGAGGTAGTGGATGGACGATGACAACGGTGATAGTGGTGGCAGTAGGTGGACGACAACAATGGCGGTTGTTATAATCCAAACTCGCCCGTATAGGTTTAACATCGTAACTGGCCAGTAATCTTGAGATTACCCAAGGCCTCTAAACAAATCAACACATAATAAGGGGTAGCGGATGTGGAAGCAGATATATAAAACATATATAGTCCATCGAGTTGTGCAGACATACATGGGACACAGATTTAAAACTTATATGCAGAAACCCACATATGTCGTCTTATACATATCCATCTTACATGGTCATTAAACATATACCACAAAAGAACTGGTCTAAAACAAACAAAAGTCTCAAACTATAATTTGATTCACAAAACTCGACCAGTGGTATTTCGGGAACCTCCTCGAGAGGCACTGTGGTTGGCTGGACAAAACTGACCTCCAGGCAATAGCTTAGGCCTGGTCACGCGCCTGATTATAGTAAAGATTTTAATGAATGATGTCCATAACAGATTCATAAATTAGATTTCAAATCTCTTATCATGTCAGAAACATAAACATGTTCGTATTCAAATCAGAAACAAAGTCATATTCATATTCATATCATGCGTGGTACATCCATTAGCGTTAACAAGTCACATTGGTCATTCATATCAAGTTCCACAACGGAACCTCTGGTACCAGATAAGTTGACTTGAGGAATTGATAGGTTATTACCGAATCGAACAAGGAAATCTTCTCTAGGAAGTCTGATGAAGATGGCAAATTAGTAGAGCGTTGACTTGACAACTTTATTCTCAAATCAAAACGTAGAATCATTTTTAATTTAATAGAAGAAGATGCTAAATTTGT